TATTACCAGCGGACGTTCACCGACCCGACACTGCGGCAGTTTTCCTGCAGACACTGAGCCCCACCCCGTACGTAGCGAGTCTGTAAGCGCCTAGTAATTCCTAAGCGAGAGTCGTGGCTACTACCATGTAATAATAGGCGTAGCGCCACCAGCGTTGGCGATAATGGCCCCCGGCGCGTATATCGCTATGCATTATAATAGTGCTAATCTCTGAAAAAAACCGCCTGTGGTGAGTGGGACTATCAGCGCACAAACTGTTGGAAAAACATCGCGCATATCTCATGAACAAAAGAAATTCAGTGATGACTGAGCAGCATTCTTCACACACAAACTGTCGTGTAGCCGTGTGCTGCCCAGGTCACAGTATGTGTGCGCCCACTCGCCGCAGCGGTCGGCAGTCAACCCAAAACACCTTACTGGAGGCAATCGGAGGCTCCCTTGAGTGCACAAAAGGCATACAGTTGTCACTGCCCTCACTCTCTGAAGTGCTCTCTCCATATCTCTCTGGAGCACGTATGGACGTGTACGGCGGCTCTTTGGTTGGTGGAGGTCGATCTCTTGTTTGTCTCACCTGAGAATACTGCAGGGACGCTACCCTTTCCCTTCCCTCTACCCTTCTTCTCCCCACGCTCCACTTTCTTCCTCTCTCGTTCTTTTTCCTTCTCCATCTTCTTGCGCTCTCTCTCTTCCTTTCGGTCGCTGTTTCATCTCTGATGCTTCCTTTTTCTTTCTCTGTCTTTCTCCCTTATCATCTCAACATATTCATTTGATGTGAGCACCCGGACCCCAGTGATACGACGAGAAGGACGTTTGGTCTCTTTCATCAGTTTGGGGAGAAAGAAATATGTCGGCAGATCTTGCGGAACAAGCCCACCTCTAACTAGAGGATCTCAATCGTGGTCTGCAACGAGGAGTCGTGTTATGCTGATTCTGGGAGGAATTTTGAGAACCGAGCAGACCCAGATGCACAGGAGTAAGAGGTTAGGCGACCTGACAAGACTTGGGGAGAGCTATACCCTCATCAGCAATGAGATGAAAGGGATGAGACGATTGGCGAGGGGTTCACACTTGGTACTCTGTGATTCCTCAGATGTTGATAACGCAGACGTGTTCAGACTATTGCCTGCACCTACAACCGACCCTGAGGAAAACCCCTGCACTAGAAGATTCATCTGTTGATGAAAAGGAACTGAAGACGGCAAATCTTGCTCTGGTCTATGGCATTAGGGTTGAAAGATGTATGCCACACGTTGCAAATCCAGCCTTGATGTTCGACACGAAAAACGCTTTTTCCGAGGCGTTTTGACCACACGAGCAAACTCAACGCTTTGACACAACCAAATCCTTCTTTGCGAACGACAAAGCATGGACAGCTTTGCTAAATGTGACTTTACGACTGAAAACAGATACATCAAGGGTTGAAGAGCGTGCGTCGTGTGGGGGGGAAGACAGAAAAGTATAAATTGATCTCACGTGCTTATCGATGACGTCATCGTGATGTGGCTAGCATGTCCATCAACAAACAACAGCACCTGGACTCTGTGAGCCACAATACCTGAGAAATATTTCTTCATCCAGACCATGAAAAGTTCACTGTCAATCCACCCACTCTCGCTCTTAGCGTACACTACGTCATCAGGACCATCAACCTGTATGCAACTGAAAAGACTTTGAGAGATAATCATTGGTGGCAAGGCTACTCCGGCAGCGGAGGCACCACGAGGAGGGTGATGTGTTCAGATGTGCCTCTCGACTGAGCATAGACGTGCTTGGTGTTCTTCGGCGATCACCTTTTCACATACATGTGAGGGCAGGAAGGTTTCGTCGCAGTTGAACAGTTGTCTTGTGTGAATTGACGAGGTCATCTCCTCAAGTGTGCACTTGAGAGTCTCAAAATAGCCGTCAACAACTCCTTGTCAATGCATTTGCTCGGCTACGTTCAAGATTATCTGCGTACGAAGCGTCAGCTCCGATGTCTCGCACGGAAGTTGCTCCACCATGCTTCCCTGGGCCCGTCTCCTCAGTTAAACGATCACTGGTACCGGAACGGCAAAAAAACCGCCATATGCGAAACCTCGAGCCATGTTTGACGTGAGAGGGAAGCCACGCTCAGCCATGTGAGGAGATAGGAGGCCAAAGCATCCTCTTCTCTGGCCGTCAGGACAGTAGTAGGGACCTGGATTGCTGCCGTGGATTACACGGCCCTAATCCTGGTTCGTCAAGGGTCTTTCGTGGGACGGAGTGCTGTTTTGCTGCAGCACTCACCGTCTTTTCTCTGCTCTCTGCTGCACAGTCTCATGGCCGCCTCCATATCTTCCGGTTCCATTGACGTCTCTTGACCTTATTTTGCCCATCATCAGTCATTCTGCATGGTATAGCGCGGAAAAGGGACCATAATAGAGAATAGCTAGTACCGGTTAGTTTATGTAGGTAGCTACCGTAATATGGCCCTTAGATCTCTTTTTTCACGCACACTACGCTGTCGCCCACAAACGGATAAGTAAGCTCTAAGTTAAAAATTACCTTGTCCGCTCTAGATGGCTCTTCGAGCCGTTGTCCAACGTCTTCCAGGTTGAACCGGTATCAAAAAAGAGCACGTGTCCAGCTCTATCATGCGCATGCGTCGGATGGGTAGCTCCTTAATTTCCCGTTACAGCGCGAATGGCGATATTTGGTCCGCGCGGAGTGCGATGATAGGGGGTTTTACGCTAGTGAGGTAGAAGGCAAGGTAAGCAAACAAGTCAACTACACCCAGGACACAAGGAAAAGAAGAGCTGCCCTTGGTGGGATTCGAACCCAGGACACTCTGCTTTCTCCACCAACTGAGCTAGGGCAGCTGGTAGGGGCTCAATCTTAGGGCCCCCCTCAAACCACTGTGGCACATGACACTCTGACTCAGTATGAAGAAGAACACGGGTAATAATACCACCAAAGACGCCCAACTCCAAACTGAGTATCATGCGTGTGTCAACAACTAGCTAGGTATTATAGTGAAGTAGAAAGAAGGGCAAGGCGAAGCTAACACGTGGCTGCAGATCAGGGGTTATGTTATTTGAGGCGTGCTTGCCATGCCCTGTGCGTTAAATTAATACGCCAGATAGCGATGAAGGAAGACAAGTAGCCAGCAAAACAATAATAGAGGGGAGGACGCATGAGCGCTAAATAAAAGCCTCTTGTCCTCTAACCTGATATCTAGCGGATCCAGCATTATTACGACAACTGGGGGTTGTAAATATAAAATACTTGCGCATGCGCAGGTAGGGCCTCGGAGGGGGCGCGGTTAGCGTATAATTATACATGTAGCTACTCGGATGCCTCTCTGCTTCGGACGTTACAGAGTAACAGCGCGTGAACGTTTGGGGGGCGCTGCTTGCCCTGTGGCGGTGCGCTAAACCTACATAATCATCTGGGGTGACAACGTGATTTTCACGTCAGTGTCAGTGGTCCGCTTCTTGGCGTCCTTGCTCTACGAAACTGGGGGTTGCAACCCCCTCAACGTCTAGTCTCGCTTCGGCCTTATTCTGTGCGTCGACGGTTGACCTCGATGGGCTGGGCCAGCGCCGGCCGGCCTGAGAGGGTGTGGATTACGTTCATGGTCGTTATGGCAACGTACCACGCGCTGCACACCCACCTACCTCTGGAGCAGCAGTCCCGCAATCATCCCGAATAGCCTTCGGCCAAATGGCGTCTATCGTCCGGGAAAGAGTGATAGCAAGATTGCACCAGAGGCAGGTAGGAAATGACAGGAGTAGTGGCTTGATGATATGTAGGCAGATGTCTTGTAAGACACAGGAGAAAAGACTATTATGTCACCTAAAATCTCGCCTCCTCTTGAGAATTGTTTTCTACATAAATCGACTTTGGTTTCTTTCACCGTCTGCATCAGGTGGAAGAGACGGAGAGAAGAGCCAGGGACCAGATTCTTACTACCAGATTCGACGAGCCCCTCCCCCTCTCCTCATCTCCCGCCCCCTCCACATCCTCCCACCCTCACAACCCCGCTCAACAACCCTCACGAGAAGGGCGTGGCACCTCTCTGAGGTGGAGTCTGTTGTCACGGCGACTCCCCGAGGCTGTTGAGAGGGTCAGTGAACCAATGAGTGTGTTCAGACCCTGTCAAGTACAGTAAGGGGCACTCTGAATAATTATTATTGAAAAAACCCGATCAATAAAGGGCACACTTGGAATCTTTGTATCCGTATGTATTAGTAGAACCTCTGAGGACACACCAAATGCTGAACCTATAGAAGACAACCTCTCTAAATACCTGGTCCAATTGGTAGAACCTCTGATAACGGACGCTCTGAATATTGGACACATAGAAAAAAACTTCTCAATACAGGACACACTTTGAGGTCCAAAGGGCTGAACTTATAGAAAACAACCTCTCTATAAAACTGGTGCAAATGATCGGAGGTTCCACTGTGCTTATATACATACATGTTGTGTGTGTGTGTTGCGTATTCAAAAAAATCTTTGCGATGCATTTTCCAGAATGTGGAGGAGCAGTCTTATCAGTTCTTCACTGGAGCAGCGGAGGACCTGGATATGCCTGTCCCTATCACTAGACAGGGAGGGAGGGAAGAGGGAGAAGTGAGAGGAAGAGGTATGGAGGTGGCGGAGGAAGAAGGAGAGAGAGAGGGAGCTGTTAGAGATGACGAGAGGGAAGGAGAAGGAGACGGTACGGAAGAAGATGAGGATGTGGTGGAGGGAGAAAGTGGCGATTCTGTACATCCTTCTGGACCAGACCTAGAGGTGCCAATGCAGTATATTATTGCTTATTCCTCTGATGTAGACACCGCGTAAGCATTTCATTCCCATAAGGAGCAGATAGTACTCCCAGTAGTGATCAAATGCAATGCATGGTAAGCAAGTATATATTACTGCAAAATTTTAGCAGTTTTATGCGCGAAGCATTACTGTGTTTGCCTGGAAACAATAATTATGTCGGCGTTTTTGTGGTTAGAATCGAAAATAGAGATTTTTGGAGGTCAAAATGGAACTAATTGAAAGAAGTCCCTGGTGGCTAATTCAGCAGTACAGCTATGCTAATGGTACCAGTGGGTTTTGCACATTGTAATAGGAACCAGCAGAAGAGGGAACTGAGGAGTCTCCCGATGAGAGCAGCCAGCAAGTCCCAGAAACTAACACCGAGGACTCTGCCTTACTCAGAGGCCATGGAGCCTCACGTCACTTACTTCGCCCGCCGACCACGATTTACATCCCTCACCGAGTCCGACTGGAGAGAGAAGACGGTGTCTACTTCACTCCGTCGTCTGGCCCCCCGGGGACCGCCGTGGAGGACAGGACTCCGTCGGGGATGCCCCCTCGTTTCTGTGAAGACGAGGGCCTGTACGTGGGGCGCAGACCGAGATTGAAGTGGACCAATCGTATCATAGTCGAGAATAGACTGCTGCATAGATACGACAAGGTGAAGGACCACTTGCATTCCTTAATGCTATCTCATCTGCATGTTCAGTTTGTTAGTTGCGCAAGTGGTCAAGAAGGAGAATGTAACCTCTACCACCTGAGGGGTTTAGCTAAACTAGAGCGTGATGGGGGGTTCACTATTGCACAGGACTATAGATAAGAATTTACTCTCTCCATGGCGCCTACTACTGTATGTTAGGTTCCTACGTACATAGTTTGGTGTTTGTGTAATTATACAACTTTACTCTCTCATTGTCTCCCATGTCATTTTTCTTCCTACCTTCCCTTACTACCTTCCCTCCCTTCCTTCCCTTCCTTCCCTCCCTTCCTCTCTCCCTCCCTCTCCTCTCAGGGCAGGGGTTGGTTTGGAGAGGACGGTGTTGTGCTGGCTCTACCTGATCCACTCCAGGAGTCACCTCTCAGACCTCCCATCCTGGCCCATGACCCCACCAGACACATCTCTTGCTCACCCCACCATGTCAGTACACTGTATAGTAGCGAGTGAACAGTGTACTAGTGCACATGAGGTACATTAACAAATAAACTTTGAACTATCCTACACAGGCTAAAGAGAAAAGAGCCACCAACAGGAAGATGATTCCACAAGGTGAAATTGTATGTGGTGTGTGGAGTTTGTTGTGCCTATATGCTTCATAATTATTGTACATGTGTAGGTAACTGCATACTGGTTTTTTTTTCAACCCACAATGGAACCTCGTTAATATGAACACTGTTGAAGCGAAATACCTTGCTAATATGAACCACTTTGAAATCCCCTTGCATTATAGAAGTACAATACGACTAGCAACTGTTATAGTGAAATTCCTGTTAATATGAACAATTTTGATGGTCCCCTGGAGTTCATATTAACGAGGTTCCACTGCACTTGGGTTTGCAGGTTCAGGAAGCTATCAGCTGGATTTAACCCTGTCCTCGCTGCATTTCTCCCACCACCCTCTGTTCTCGCTGGAGCATGTGATGTGTGCCTGTCTCAGAAGAAGTAATTTTAAAGAAAAGTGCCTGAGGCTATTTGTTGTTGTGGTCGTCATGGAAACAATGTAATACACATGCGCACCAAGTTTCACCTCCATGCGTGCTACAGCAAGTTTGAGGAGTGAAGAAGTAAATTTAATGAAAAGTGCCTGAGGCTATTTGTTGTTGTTTACAAACATGTATTGTTGTAATTTTGATGTTGGTGACTGAATACATTATGTCTACAAAGTTTCATTCACATAGCTCTTACCATTTGTGAGTTATACTGACACATGTGATCCCATTATAATGTATTGCCTGGGGCAATTTGCAGTAAACAATGTTGTTTACAAAGAAATAAGTGTGACCAGTCTCTTCGGGTGACGGATATCTACATTCTTACAAAATTTCATTACTTTATGTTGTTTCGTTTTTGAGTTACGCGTGTTCGTGAGTCCAATCTGAAGAAGAAGGAGAAGGAGGAGAAGATGAACGAAACTCCCTATCATAGCCCCATACATCTATGATGCTAGGTACCATGCCAATCCCTATATACTAAGTACTACCATACTTAGTGATACCCCACTATAATCAATTATTATGCTTTCCACGGTACCCGGACTCAAATGGTGCTCTTTCCCTAATGGTCCTCAAACCTCTTCTACAATGTACAAGTAGCTACTCCATGACAAATCTTTGACATAATAATGGAAATTACAGATCACAGGCCAGTGGCCATACCAACAATGCCCCACCCCATGCTACTCATAATTGTTCTAAATCTTCTCTAACTATGAAAAATGACCATGTCCATCCAGTATAATAAGAACAAAGGAGTGGAGGGGCTATCTGCTTACTAATGGACCCCACCTCCCTCTGTAGCTGAGAGTATGCCACAACAATCTATTACTGAGGCTAGCTCCCTGTAAACAATCATGCAGTTAGCTTGAGTGCGGCACGGGGTGCGTGTGCACAGAATGTTTATCCCCCTATAGCCATGCAGACACACAGAGCTAGCGTACGGAGCCAATTATCGAACGACTTGTGTACCGGCGCTTGTAGCTCCGTCCAGAAACGCCTCCCGAATTCGGTTCCTGTACCGTCGCAAACCCCATTCTATACTCTACAAGACTCGCAAAGGTCCAGCCTACTATCGCCTTTCCATTTAGAGCGCTTTCCTCCGTTATAATTATGACTACGTCACGGACCATTTATCGAACACCGGTACCGACCGCCGAACGTGCGTACATTCGCGCATAACGAAATATCGAACGCTGGGGAAAAACCCCACCTACAGCACAGGCATTGTTTGGTTATGTGCCGCTACTACACCTAAACATGCCTCATAAGTGTAGCTACACAGGGCGCTATTCAATCCGGTAGTTGTAAACGCGCAAACTCGAGAAATATTCACCAAAAGACTAACTTTCCAAGGAGTGTTTGTGCAATACAAAAACTGAAACAAAAAAAAACGTCAGGTAGAAAGGTTATTGAGGCAAATAAAGCAGAGATGCTCATTCCCATCACTATCTGTGACACAGTCATCTGCGCAGTCCTCATGCAGCCATCGTCCACATGCACAGGCTACCCAATCCTTTCCAGATTGATCGTCGTCGTAGGAAATGTAGCACACACAACATTCACTGTCGTTGATCTGAGTAGAGGGGTTTGCAGTTTTCCGGGGACATTTTGCTGGTCTGGTACTACGAGCGTTTTGGCTTCTCTTCGTTCCAACACCTGCGGGTTGTTTTCCCTTCGCTTTTTTAGCTTTTTGTGCTTCCTTTTCAGCTTTCTCTTTCAGTTTTTGTTCCTGCTTTCTTGCTCGCTCCTCTGCCTTTTTCCTTTGTTCTTCTTCCTTCCTTTTCTTTGTTTCTTCCCTCTCCTTCTTCTTTTTCTCTTTTATCTCTGCTTCCTCTTGCTTTTTTCTCTCTTTCTCCTTCAATATCTCAAAAGCAGCACAACTTGTTAATAAACGAGCCCGTACTCTGCGGTGAGAACCAGACTCTTCTCCACGTCCTCAACAACTGCTGCTCAGCAATGAACCTACGCCGTTACAATGATCGCCATGACCTTGTCCTGCAGGAGATTGCATCTGCCATCAAACCGTACCTCCCACCAACAACATCCATGTCAGTGGACATTAGTGATGGGTACAAGTTCCCATGTCACATTGTGCCCACTGACTTGAGACCAGACATTGTGTGGTGGGACTCCAGCTTCAGGTCTGTGTACTTGGCAGAACTGACTGTCTGTTTTGAGACGAACTTCGACGATGCTGCAAACAGAAAAACTGCCAAGTACGCAGACTTGGTCCAGCAGGCAAGGGGGAATGGCTACAGGGCTACTCTTCTCACGCTCCAAGTTGGCTCGAGGGGAGTACCCCATTACCAGAGTTTTGCAGCTCTGGCCCGAGTCCTGGATATGACCAACAGGGACCTCATGATTCTCATCGCCAACACTACCAAGGCAGCCATACAGGGGTCATTCAAGATCTGGTGTTCCCGAAACAAAACATGTTAGTTTGTGTTCTTTCTCTGTTTTGTAGTCTAGTGTTTGTGTCTATTGTTTGGTTTGTATCGTGCCTGTGGGCCCATGTGATCGTGCGATGACATTGTAAATCATCTAGACGATAGGATCATGGTACTTACCCACTCCTCATTTGTATTTGTACCCATGCAAATGCAATGAAGATGTTTCACACACACGAGAGAGAGAGAGAGAGAGAGAGAAGTCCTGGAAGAAGATGGACTAGGGCAGCTGAGAAAGATCCTCAAACCAGTCTCAGACAAGGCATGGAAAACATTCCTAGAGAGAGAGAGAGAGAGAGAGAGAGAGAGAAACAAGCCGAGTGTGGAAGGAATAAAAAATGACACCCAATTGAGGGAGGTGGGAAGGAACAACGAGGTCACTTTCTTTTATTTGAACAAAGGATTCCTTGGCTCTCCTGTATATTATCTCAATCATTTCAATGACAACATACCCACCGTAGCAACTGTGAAGGTCTTGGCTGAGGGCAAAGCCATGCCTACAGGTGCAGAAGTAGCTGTCGGGATTCCCGTCTCGGATATCCACGCAGTCGTGGTCACACCTGGCCAACCCTTGAGCACATTCATTCAGATCTGAGTTGAGAAATAGAGTTGAAGTGTGAATACATCTCTTGCTACTTTGGTTTGCTCATTATTATGTCACATGTAAGACTGAGGTCACCAGAGCTCATCTTTTACGTAATTTAACGGAAGAATGGGCATGTTATAAATTTTACATTGTGCTCCTAATTATCCATGTGCTCCCATTTACTAGAATTACGTACTTCAGCTCGATCACAAAAACAATTATGGGTTCACAAAACAATCTCATGGATGCTGCATGCGCATAGCTACTTGATAACTCATGTTACAAGCTTGTATTTGAAGTAAACACCCTGTTGTACTCGCTGAAGGTAAAAAAAGATACAGATAACCCTAAAATCTTTATTCTGGTTTTTTTAAAGCTTGGTGACCTAGCTACCTATGACACAAGAGGTGTTGTTGAGACTGACGAGGTGCACAATGCTGACAACTCTCCCGTCCTGGTAGGAATTTACGGTGTATTCGTAACAACTGAAGAAGACGCAAGAGTCTCCAACTGCCAGGTTGACAGCATCACCACTCGTGTAGTCTAACGTCCACTTATTGCTCAGTCCACGAGCAAGCTACAAGGGACAAAAATGCAGTTTCAGGTGTAAAAAAATCACACTGAATGTGTGCAAAATGTTTTTTGTTTGAAAAGTTGCTACATTTATTTGGCGAGTGAAGCTAGCCTAACCAGCCATTTCAATTGTGTGTGTGTGTGGTAATTATTATTTGTATATATCTGATTGACAGATGTGTCTGTGTTATGGCAATGTGCATGCACAAGCATCACATAAAGTGGTTCAAAGGTCTCTTCGCTCTTTGTTCGTTCGCAGTTAGAGCAGTGGTAGAGTTGGCTTACATATCTGGTGAGGTTTCTCGCCACCGCGAAACTTCCTTCACACTCGTATCCGAAATGGAACTCCTCTCCACTGGTGTCTATCAATTCGACGGTTGGCTGGAAGTGAGGAAGAACAGAGACCCGTACTGTAGGCTCTGCCAGTTCACTGCACAATGGCTCCATCACTACTCCTGGTGAGATTGGATTGGGGTCTGGGTGATCGAGGCAGGGAACAAATTAAATGAATTATATTGTGAAGTATTGATACGGAATTGAATAGAGAAGAAAAGGGAGGTGTTTTTATAAAAGTTAGTGTGCGAGGGGGAGGTGGAAGATTTTTTTGAGTGGAACCAAACACAGATAGCTATATATGCAAAGTCACGATATGAAAACGGAGAAAAAAGTGAATAGGCTTACTTACAAAGAAAGAGAGGGAGGCAGTATGTGGGGAGACTGCAAATAGTGTGATAAGTATAGCGAAAAGCATATTGAGTGTATGGAGAACCCTTGTAGCAAGAAGGTTGAAAGTATAATGATTCAAAGTGGACAAGGAGATCTGCCTCTTTGTAAGCATGCTAAAAATGCTTTGCATCACGTCTCTCTAATCACGACTGTTATTGCATTGGAAACATGCAAGAATGCTGTAATGAAGTCGACGTGTAAATATACCAAAGAATTTGTCCGCATTAATGGAGTTTCTTTTGGGAAGCAACATACATTGAGTACAGAATAAAACTGGGCCGGACGACAATTCCAAATGAAATTATTCCCCAGGCAACTCCTCTTAATCAACATGACCCATGTTTGCATCCAATTATGTTCAATTAACCCAGGATTCCAAAAACACACACACGGCATCCCTGACAACGTAGCATCACTCGCACATTAACCCCTACTGCCCCCGTGATGTAATGCACCACTTCAAACAACCCTCACAATTTGGACTTACGTACCGAATGTGGCAATACACTGAAGGTGTAGTGCATTTGCCCACCTTGCCAACTCCTTTGGCACGGGAGGCTTTTTATACAGCGCATAATGTCCAGGTGCGCATGTAGTAAAGTAGTACTGAATACTGAGATACTAAATACTGAAAAGGAGGTGCCAATTGAAAATGAACGATGATACCTGCATTGTCTCTTGCCTTAAAGGTCTGGTGATGGAGCCTGAAGCGCTAAGTAACAATGCCGCATACCCTGACCTCAAACGAACAACTGCATAGCAACTAGTGGACGCTGTGTGTAGCTAAACAGTGTGTTTCAGTGCCAAGGTCGTGATGGAGCACGTTCTAATAGTCTACACATGTGTCAATCATAACAGTGCAAAGAGCAACTGCACAGAGAGTGTGTTTAATGTTCGGCCTTCATTCATTACCTTTGAAAAAGGGACCTTAGAAATGAGCAATTTCAGATAAGCTCTTGAAAGCCAAGAGAGTCCGCATGTGTCATAGTTGGTTAACTATACTTGTGGAGTTGGCATGAGCAGCAGGTACTATTGAGCTTTCAGGGGGAGGCTACGCCAGACTAGGGTCATTGCGTATGACAGGAAGACAAGTACCCAAATAATACAGAGGCTGAGAGGGGGGGGACGCATGAGCGCTAAATAAAAGCTTGATGTCCTCTTGTCCTCTAACTTGATATCTGTCTCGCTTCTGCCTTATTCTGTGCGTCGACGGTTAGCCGGTTGCGTAACTACTGATCTGATTGCATATCCTTGCGACTACACCACGTGATGATTTGATTATCAGCTCCTGTGGCGGAGAAAACAAGGATCGAGGTTACTCGGAAAGAAGAAGCCACCAGCAGAGAACGTTGTATTTAGACTACGGTGACACGCAATTGACCAATCAGATTCATAGCTTAGAGGTAACTATTTTTTTTAGTTACCTCTTCCGCGGTAACTATTTCGCAGCCCTGCGGCACTTTTCTTACGCGTATTGGCCGGCAACCACGCCTTCAATTCGAGAGACGCCGTGCGAGCGGAAGGCAAACGGAGCTTCTGGAGAGGTTCTTTCTCACGAAAACGGTCTTCTAGTAGGAAGCGGTGCATGACTACAGGGCCCTAGCTACAGCTCGAGTCAGACGCGCACGCTAGCGGTGCGAGAAGGGCCAAGCGGCCCCGCCAACTTTCGCGGTCGCAGAAACAAAATTGCGCATGCGCACACGTCACCGCGCTCGCTGTCAGCCGTGCGGCACACACGCAGCATCGACCCGGAGTGACCGATAATTATAATTGTACATTTAATCACATCTATCAATGAGTTGTCCAATTCAAATCGTTCTGTCCAATCGTTCTGCCCAATCGGTCTTCTAGCAGTAAAACGCACCAATGGCATCCAGAAGATTTCCTGCGCGACCGAAAAATCCAACAATATTTCCGGTGACCTCATACTTCGTTTCTCCTGTTTTTCCAAAAGGACCATAAGTGGCAGTAGATCCATTAGGTTTTCTGGTGGTGAAAGTCACCTGATCCACTAGGACATCGTTGGTTTTTCCCGTCATTGCTATGATGAATTCACCGTCCTCGAACTCCACCACCGTAGGGCGTCCTCCAGTACCGCCGTGGTTGGAGCCGTCCAACACTCCTCCTCCTAGCAGCTGGTAGTCTGCATCGATGCTGTCGACTTGGTTACCGTGGCGAATCCTCATTCGCTTGACGTTGACAACAGGCGGAATGTTGACGTCAACCGGATCAGCGAAAGCCTTTCCACCAGTTCCGCCGTATGTGGGACTTTTTGTCAGTGGAGGAAGATAATACGCTCCCAGAGCATCCAAAAGATTTCCGGCACGACCGAAAAATCCTACAATGTAACCCTCCACTTTGAACTGCGTTTGTCCGGTTTTGGCCAAAAGGACCGTACGTTTTTTCCTCACCAGCATCGTTTTGTGTCACAAAAGTCACCTGATCAACGAGAACGTTGTTAGTTTTACCTTCCATTCGAACAATCCTTTCGTTCTTGGCAAGTGTGAAGGAGCTCAAAGAGCCTCCGGTACCGCCGTGGGCCGGAGCGGTG